CCAGAATTGCAGTCTACTTGCTGTATTTCTTTTCTATTGATGTATAGCTTTGTAAAAATTCTTTGCATATCAGTCTGCTGGTTTTCCTGATACTGTTGCTGTTGTTATTGTATTTCTGCTATTGTATTGTATTGCCAAAACTCTAGCTCCTGTAACAGCCTACTGGGTACTCAAAAATATTTATAGAATTAATGAATGAACCTATACCAACTCAGCTTTGTAGCCACGTTCGAATTCTCAAGAAGAAAGGAAAGTCTATATTTTGGCATAATTTCAATGTAGAAGAGACTGCTTGGCTTTCATTCTTTGTAAATTTGACCCTGCTACTGGCCCTCAGGAGTTCTGTTTGTTCTCTAAAGGGTTCATAATGCCGTTCTCAAAGCCAGCTTCTTTGACCAAAATCATAGTAGCTATTAATGTGATGCGGATATGTTGGGGGGAGCACACATGTTTGTGTGTGGATGTGGATGTGGTTTATGGGTGCTTATAGATAAATTCCAGTAGTAAGATTATCAGATAGTTTGTATCATTCCCTGTTTTTTCTCATGAGGAAATGGGGTGTGGAGAGATTGCAATTGTGAATGAAGTCTAATGTCTGGGAATCTGATCAGGAATCCAGTACTCAGAGGCTGGGGTCTGTGCCCTTCCCAGGGATGCTTTAGATCCTGTCTGTGCGCAGCCTGTTGCCCCTGAATACTTCAGTTTTCATTCTCCTTCAGAAAGCACACAATTTCTCCCTTCATGTTAGCATTAAGACAATGGTCTGATTGATACAACGAAGACTTGAGAGTAATATTTAGGATGGATGATGGCATCCTAAATGTTATAAAGGTTTTTGTTTTGTGACTGTGGTCTCTCAATGTATCACTATTTTGTAGTATTGTCTATTTTTAATATTTACATGCACAAATACATTTATAAATATTCAAGTTGATAAATATTTCTCATTAAAGACAATTTTAAAAACAAGTCAAATATTGGGAAACAAAAATGGATTATGTGCATGTATCTACATTTATGTTCTATTTTATACCAAGTACAGCAATTTGGAGGCCATTGCATGCTATGCTTTATGAAAATGGGGCTTAACAAGGAATATTTATATTATATGGATTTCTTTTGTAGTTCTTAAAATAGTAAAAATGCAAGTAATGGAATGTAAAATGTAAGAGTCTCCCTAAAGCAAGTGATAAATCTATCCCTTATAGAGATGCTACTGCTATAGACCTATCATTTGAAATATTTCTCTTTTAGTGATAATTTATTTGAGTCAGTTATCTATATCTACACTGGAAAATAACAGTCTTTGCGCTGTATTAACAATTCAGTATATACTTATTTTGTCTACAGGATCCCCTATACTAATCACCACAAGCGACTAAGAAGTGATTATGATATAATCTTTGTTTAAATTGTAACTTAATTTCTAACTTAAATTCTAACAAGAGTTCACAAAAATAAACATACCACATGCTTAGACATTTCAAATTTTTGTCAGAGGATACAACAGGCTGTTAGAAGTTTGAGCACTAAAGGTCATCATATGCTTCACAAGGGAAAGAAATGCTTCCTGAAGACAGTAACATGGAAATTAGTATCATGCGTCAGTAGCATTTTAACAGATGGAAATGGGGGAAATGGGGATTTTAGGGTACTCTGTGACTTCAAAACATACCTACCCTCACCCCTGCCTCTTCTGGTTCCTTGCTGTGGAATATAAATAAAAACAAAACAGAACAGATTAAGACATACTTACCTCTTAACTAGGAGCTGGAGCTGATGAGTCTAAATAGGAAGGGAAGGTGAGTGAAGCCACTTGGTAATCTTGGGGGAAACTCTGAGCCTGCATGCTTGAGATGATGTTTGCACCCCTGAGGCACTTGCAGCAAGAATCATAAGGCCACCCCCTACTGACCCACTGACCCAGTGGGTCTTCATCATAGAGCACAATGTTGCCCCCAACTTGCTGCTCTGGGGAATGAACTTTTGCATCCAGAGGCCAAAAGAGCGAACCATGAAGCTGAGGATGGGGTGATTAAACTGTACTTGAAAATGCAGAAATCCTCTCCGCGCTCTACTAGCTAATGCCTGTGTGCACATGTGAGTTAACTGTTTCATAAACTGATAAAAGATGAATTTATGGAATTTTTAAGTAAAATAAAAATAAAAAATCACCAAGGACAAACAGATAAAATTAATACACCAATCCAGAAGACCCACTGTCTTAATACTTGAAAAGGAAAGAAAAACTGGAGAGATAATTCTCATACCTAAAAAATGAAAATAACTCCTTGAGTACCCAGGAAAGTGAGTGACAAAAGGTACCATCAGAGCTGCCTGTGAAATTCAGAGCACTACACACAGTGCCATATCATTCAGCCATAGAGAATGAATGCAGTGGGACGACATTGTGTTCAGGGAATAAACCAGACACAGGAAGACCAGCATGCTATGTTCTCAGTCATGTGTGGAAGTGGTGGTATGTCGACAGAGTGCAGACTAGGAGCTGATAGCATTTGGGAAGATGAAGGTATGTGAGCAGAGGTTGAAGGGAGGTTGGATTTAATCGGTGCACACTGCTTGCCTGCATGGAAATATTGCACTGATTAAACTCATTAATATGTGTAACCAGTCCTTGTTAATCAAAAATAAAATGTAAAAACAGTAAAAAGAGTGTGAGTATTTAGCAAATGAAAAAATGAAGAAAGAAACAAAACAAATCTAGATTATGTACAAGTAATAAGCAACGTGCAGTGGTAAAAAGCATTGCATCAAAGTTCACAGTTTTCTTATTGAAAATAGTCTTTGACTTTAAGGGTTCTTTTTAAAGAAAAAATTTATAGAACATGACAACCATATATATATATGTATGTGTGTATATATTCATTATATATATATATATATATATATATATATATATATTCTCAAGAGTTAGTAAATGCAGGTGAAGGATAGATGAGTTTTCGTGATTATACTTTTTGCTCTGAAGTTAAAACACCTACTGCAAGTAAGAGAGCAAGTGTAAAGTTTAAGAAGGAAAAGAGAAAATCAAAATATTCCTTTCCTACAGAGATTACTGAAAGAAAGGTTTCAGCAAGAATTGAGATCTGGGAACGGATGACATTGGTGAAGAATGCAGCATTAATACCGGCCTGGGCAAAGCCGGGGCCTTCAGGCCCACAGGTCCACTAGTCAGGACCTGCGTGCAGGGGGGGTTTTAGGGAGTGGGGCTGTGTCACCCAGAAGGAGATGCTATGTTATCAGATGGCTTTGGGTATTTAGAAAATCACTTATTTTGTATGAATATTGGTCAAATCAATTAATTCTAAATAAGTAGAAAACCAAGAATATAATAAAAGTAATGACCACTTATTAACTTTAGGAAAACAAATACAAATTAAAATAAAAGAATTGCATTACATAATAATTTTGATAAAATTGTACTATGTACAATAATTTTAATAATAATTATATGTTATTAATGACACTGACTATATTTAACAAAAAATATGATGAAAATGTATCAGGAAGATAGGAACATGAGAAATAGGGGAAGGAATCTATACTAGAACTAAATCTTAACTTATGGCTGGCAATAGAAAATAACAAATTCATGTCAAGCAACGTATGCTACTTAATAACACAAAAATGCTAAATTAATAAAGACTAAAGGAACTCCGCTGGTTTGGGAAGAAAAGTAATTACTGTTTTTGGACATAAAACCTTTACTATCATTTTAAATAATTAGCCTGGGAATACTTTATAATTTTAAAATTTATGACAACTCTTTTGTAAATTCTTTTCTAAAGATGATATTAGAATATTTATGTTTTTAAAAATCAGAGTATTTAAAGATCTAATGGAGAAATTATCCCATACCATTTAGCAAAAATATGACAAAATGAAAATCATGAATCTAAAAATGAAAAAATGTGTACATAATATATTTGTAGAGGGCAATCAGGCAAGACAAAAGAAATAAATGAGTTTTTGATATTTTAAAATCAAAATCATAAAAACATCATTTCTCCAATTAAATGGATTTAAAAGTTTAACCAACTTTTTTTTGGAGAAATTTATACACCTTAACATTTTCTATTTACATTTCTGGCATAAGTCAAAAACAGGGATTTATAAGCCTTTAGAGACTGAAATGAACGTATAAAGGGGTAGGAATGGGACAATATATATTTTGAAAAAAAAACGTATCAGCAGAAATTTAGAAGAAAAGCCAAAGAATTTTCCAGGACTGAGGAGTAATCAAGATGGATGGCAGGGTTTAAAGTCAGTGACCACAGGAAAAGCCACTGAACCACACATCGCGTGATTGATAGCTGGAGTACATAATTGCTAGCTTGCTTAAGCATTCTGAAATGACAAACCTGCATTCATTTGGTTAGCATGACTCAGGTAATCACACTCAGCACATAACTTTACTGCAAAAATTTAAAAACTATCATGCGTAGAACAAAGTAAGTGGGCTTTGTGTCATTCCTATGTGTACTTTTTCCATTTAATGATGGCTATGTATTTTGTCAATAGCGACTGCAGATTATTTTTACTGAAAGGTGAACACAACTTAAGGGTCCTGTACTTTGCTTTGTGTCTTAACTATGATTGTTATTAGTAGGAAAAACCTCATTTGGGGTTGTAACACATACATTAGTACCACCATTTCTTGTCAGGTAAGTTGCTTTATTTTGAATTTCTTCACTAATATCAATAACAATAATGTCAATAGCAAAAATAAATGCTAAATCAATCTTAAAGCAGGTGTGGCTTCCTGTTTGATATGCAGTTTAATTAACAAACATTAGTACTTGGCCCGCATAATCTTGTTCACACTTATGTGGAATGTTAATCTAGTAATGTGTGATACACATTCTCTAACCAAGCAGAAAAACTCAACCAAAGTCATACCGTTTAAAACTCCATTAACCAAAGTAGATCAGAGTTAATTAGATAATTACTAATCAGAGTTTCTGCTGTTTCTGTCTTAGGGCTATGACGATGGCTATGGAGAGGAGTATGAGGAACAGACCTACCAGGCTTACGACCACAGCTATGCACCACAAACGCAGAGGTAAGGCCCTGCCAGGCCAAGGCAGCTGTCTCAGGGGTCCTCTCTTTGATCTGAATATGAGTTATCCTGTGCAAGAGCTTCAAGCAATTGGCTTTTCTGTTACCTTTTTAAATTATTAAATTGCTTACTAGACTATGTATGAGAAGTAAAACATAATAATCTTGCAAGTGCAAACAGTGAAATTATTTTGAGACTGATCATCAGAACTAATCAACTTATTAAACAGGCTTATTTTTAACTAAATACTGTAGTTTTTAGAGATTATTTTAGTGAACTTGTAATTAAGGTAGCAGTAAAATCAAGAAACTTGTTCAATGTGACTTTAAAGCGTAATTTTCATTTGAAAAATAAAAGATCAGGAAATGTCCTTGTTACTCTGACAAGGGGCAAATTCTTTCTTATTTAATGGTGGCAAAGTTTATTTGAGGTAGTAATATAGGGAAATGAAACACCCAACTTACTATGTCCGCGAGTTTATGGTCTCAAAAATTGAGGAATGAATTTTAGGAACAAGGGAGGTAAGAGTAGAATATATTTATTGAGGGAAAGGAAGCTTCCGTCTGAAGCGAGACAGAAGGGGTCCTGAGTGGGTTACCAGGGACTCCATCTTTTCTAGGGACTTTTATGGGTTCACAGTGGGACATAACTATGGTTATCCAATGAGATCAATAGTTCAGGTAAAACTGATTACATTAGGAACAAATAGGGAAGCTAGTCACACAGAAAGGGGGCATTCTTACAGAGCAGTGACTCTTTCCCAGGGGGATGGGAACTAATTTAGGGTATCAGTCTCAGAATACTGGTGCATTTGTATGGTCTTTTGTCTTGAGGCCTGGCCCAGAGCAGGAGACATCAGGTTCTCCAGTAGCTACCAGTTGTCTACATTAGCTCCGTTGAGGACCTAGCCCTATCTCACTGTCCCCATAATATTTCTAACTCAGCTGCCTGCAACAGTAGGGAAAGTTAGAAGTGCAAAGTAAGGTTCTGCTGTGTAGTGTTGGTCCCAGTAAAGAGAAGAAAAAATGAAAATAAAAATACACCCTCGGGACACACAGCAGGCTACTATGCATATGATATTGATGCATGCATATCAGTACGCCATTCCTTTCCATTACTGTGCAATATTTTATTGTACAGATGTATCACAGTCTCATTTCCTCATTTACCAATTGAAGAAACACATTGGTTGTTCCTATGTTTTGGCAATTTTGAATAAAATTGGTATAAAACAAAGTATATTTTTAAATTAATTTTATTGATACACTTTTGCTATACATAATGATCACATTTATCATAAGCAGTTAGTACCTGCACATATCTTGATTCTTCTCACAGAAAACAGAGGCAACTCATGTAACAGTTCAGTGATTCTGTTGTTTATGCTATAAGATAGAAGTCGATAGAACTAATTGTTCAAAATCATTATGGCACGAATCATTCAGTTACCAATTTTATTGTCACCCAAGGGGACCTGCATCTTATTAAGTAATATTTGGACAAGTCAAGTGACAAAGAAAGTAACAACATTAAGGTCATTCTGACCCAAAAGCATGCTATATGTATGCAGAGTTTGGATTTTGCACCTTGAAAGTGGTAAAGGAGTGTGAAGGCAAGTGTCACTTAGCATATTATTATGGAAATGATTCTCTTCAACAGTGAGTAACTGGTTAATTGGTAGTGGGTTAACTAGAAGAGCCACATGAGCCAAGAGCTTGTGCTTTTGAGTAATATTTTAGTTGCCTCAAATATTGGATCACAGCAGTTATTTAGGATACGGGAATCTTTGGCATCTCATCACAAAAGCTAAATGGAGCATTTTATGCAAATTGTCTACATATTTAGAACTTCTGTAACATTTTCAAGTTGGAACATCTGTAATTTTTTGAATTGGCAGCAAATCATTGCACACTAAGTACATAAAAATAGTGATACTAAAATTCTGTACCTTGTTTGGAAACCTTCTGGAAGAAAATGCAATAACATACTACAAACATGACAAGAATAGGCCATGACAATTCCTTCATCTACGTCAGTAAACTACATTTCAATTAAAGAGGTTTTGAAATAATTTTCTAAAAATTAGGGGTTTTCTGTGTCTTCTTATAGTGAGATTTAAGTAAATTTAACTGAGTTTAAGAAACAGGACAAAGAAAATTTTAGGATTTTGGTAACTAAACGCTGATTTATAGTGAATATTTGAAGCATAATTATTAGAATTATTGAACAACATGTATAAAAATTAATGGTAACAATAATTTGGGGAAAGGAAGCATTGTAATTTTTAAGCACAATTTTTAGGCAAAACATTTTATAGCACCTCTGCTGCTTTCTGTTCCCTTTCCTGTCCACTTAATTTTCCATGGCTAAATTTTTTCCATTCCTCTAGCACACAATTGGTGTCTTCCAAGAAGTCTTTCCTTATCTCTTTTTCATGGGAATAACCTGCTTCAGCCCTGAATTCTAGTGCCACTATATGTTTTCTTTTCGATAGCTTTTTTCCCATCTTATACTGAGATTACTTTTCTAGAATTTTTGTCTTCTATATCCTTATATGGCTTAAATATCAGGTATTAGGTATCTCCTTGAGTATGTGCTGAGCTGGTGATTGTTGACTACATGAAATATCAACCTCAATATTTTCTGCACTATGGTAACACAAAATAAGATCGTCATTCCTCAAAGAACATCAAAGTCAGAATTATTGTACATGTATCATATTTACTGACAAAACCACATGCATTTGTCAGATAATTTAATGTTACACATGAAGTGACAAATTAACTAGGTCATGAAATTTATAGCATAGTACTATTGTCCTAAATTTTAATAATTATACAATGCCTATTTGAGTCAAAAACATACCTTAGTTATTAATACAATATCTCAAACACTAGAGAGTATCAATAAATGCTTATTCAGTACATTGATTAAAAATACATAAATAATGCTGAAAATTTAGCTCAGCGGCATAAGTGCCTGCCTTGCAAGTGCGTGGTTGTGAGTTTGATCCCAGTTACCAATAAATAAATAAACAAATATCATGAATATACTATTACTGCAGAAAACTCTATAAGGAATTTTTAATATGGCACATGTTGCAATGTATAAACACCAAAGCATTACTAGGTAATTTATTAAATCCCTATCTCCAGTTAGTTTCATTGGTTTAACTATATCCAAAGAAGGTAACGTGAACAACTCAGTTAAGAGTGGGAGAGGATGACTCATGCTTATAGTTCCAGTGCCCTAGGAAGCTAAGGCAGGATCGTAAGTTCAAACCCAGATGGGGCAATTTAGCTACTTAGTGAGACCTTCTAAATAAATGAAGGGAGGAATGCTGGGAATGTAACTCATATGAGGGCCCTGTGTTTAAATTCCCTTCCTGCAAAGAAAAGGAAAGGGAGAAAAAAATAAAAGTCTATTAAACAGGCTTTTTTTCTTTATCTCTCTGTTTTTTGTTTATTTGTGCTTTGTTTTTTAGACAGGTCTTCACATTGACTGGGCTAGCCTCAAAATTATAATTCTCCTGTCTCGGCCTCACAAATAATGGCACATCAGGCATGTAAATAATATTGCTAAATAAACACTTACAATGGTTTGTGCCAGATGGGATGGGCCCATGCAATGAAAATATTTTTTTTCAATTTTAATATGTTTTGACATTTCTCTAATAATTTGAAGTTAATAAGAAACTCTTTGAATATGTTGCATGACTTCTTATATTTATTTAAATATTTATTATTTACTTATTTATTTATTATGTACTTCTACTTGAAGTTAGTAAAGCCAAACAATTAGAGAGTAATAAACTGTTAGAAGTTAGGAGAGAAAAATTTTATTCTCTATCAGTATTAGCCTAGATTGTTTTTTCAAGTGATGGCTCTTTAGTTGGACTTTGAAGTATAAGATTTGAATTTATTGAGCAAAATTATTTTTAAAGAAATAAAATAAAGAGAAATACATAGGCATTAAATTTCTCCAGAATTTATAAATCACTTGAACATTATTTTGGCAAAGAATATAAATATTATTTGATTTGTAGTACTCCAAGTCAGAGGAAATGTTGGTTTTAAATTTTGAAAAAATAGAAAATATTAGCTTTTGTAGAGCAGAGAGGAAGAAAACTGTTCCACATGTCCACCCATCTTTAATTGAGTGGGTACCACGTGTGAGCACGGCTTTGTGGAAAGCAAGCAGAGGTGGGGGGCACCTACGTGGAATTACTTCATCCTCCTCAACCGAGATGTCAGAGGACATTTGCCAGGTGATGACACTACAAGAGGTTCATCTGGAGTTCAGAAGCTGTAACAACTTTAATTAATCCCCGTTGTTTTGTAAGACATCATTAATTCTGGGAAATTTCAAATGGATCTGAAAGGGTACTTTACGGAAGATTATTCAGGAGGAGCTTAACTAAATAACATATGAATAACTGCTAAGGAGAATAATAGGAGCAATCTCCAATGAGCCTTTCCTCTTGCCTATCAGAAGAACAAGTAAAGAACCAGAAGGATGATTTTATTATGTAGAGCTTGCAACTGCAGAACTCCTCTTACTGTTTCCAGGGGTTGCTTTGCTTGAAGCCTTTGACTTACGCAAGTTCCATTTTATGAGTAACATCTTTAATTAGGCCAAATATTGTCATATTCTCCTACTCCATTTTATGTATTTCTCAAAGACATTAACATTTTCAGAGAACAACCTCCTAAAACCATATAGTTTTACAAGGTTTTGAGAAAACTGCCTGATGCACAAATGTTAATCAAGAATTGGCAGCAGATAATAGATTAAGGAAAATCTTTTATTTACTTGGATGTAATTCTCATATTACAAATGAAAGTCAAAAGATCAGTTTTGGACCTTTGACTCTACTATTAATTTAATTTACCTATGAAATGTTAAGAGATTACAATTTTTCCAGTATAAATTGTTAAACTGAAGATTGGTGCAAAGCAAAAAGCATCTAAATAAAAAACCTTTATTTTCCTTGAACCATGAGT